AATATTGTCTTTTGGTAATCTCGTGAGGCCAGAGAAACGCCCTTACTGACTTCTCCTCCTTTATTCCTAAGAAATAGATGTGCGGCGAAATTGGCCTTTCAGCCTCTTTCTCGACGACTAGTCGCTGAAAAACTAAAGTAGAAAATATTCAAAATGTCGTGGTGTATTCACGGTTAATCGCATATTACTCACCGAGTCGCTCGTGTCGCTCAACGATGTGTGTACGAACGCTTCTCCGATCTTGCACGCATCGGTTTCTTCTTTCAATTACGACCATACGGCGAACAAAGTCGAAAGTCGGTGCGTTATTCACGATACCGGGCACGCTGGTAAATTTCCTGAGGATTTCCTGATGTCGATAGCTCTTTTAATTTGGGTTTGAGAACTCGCAACAAGTCTGCGTCGGCCGCGCTAAGCTGTTCTCGTCGAGTCGCGCCAACGAGTGAAAGTTGGATCGGAAGTTACAGAGCCAATTGAAAGGGGGCAGGGTGCTGGTGAAGGGTAGTAATGGTGGAAGAAGAAGAAGAAGAAGAAGAAGAAGAAGAAGAAGAAGAAGAAGAAGAACGGGGTGCAAGGGTAGAATAGACGAAACGCGACGGCGGAAGTCCATCGAGAAGAGAAAGTGTAGGTAGATAAGAAGAGGAGGGCAGAGGACTCACGAATGCTCGCGCATCTTCTCGCAGCCGAATGACATTAAATAAGTAACGCGAAACGCCTGTAAGAGAGAGGCACGTTCCGACCCGAGATAGTCTCCAGCGGAGAGAGTCCAGGCCGTTTCCTCCATTTTTCAGTTCGAGAATGCAGCTACGCTGACTGCATTATGCAACCGGCCGTCGACTAGCGACTACGCGACGTCCTGCGAGACAACCCAGCGTTATTCCAACAATATCCCACTCAACGATATAACTGTTATTTAACGCATGTTATATAACGGTTACATTGTTGAATGCAACATTCATGTTATGTTACTGTTACTTGGTATTTATTGGATACTGTCTGTGTGTCGAACATGATATTGGGTCAAATTTTGGTAAATTTACTTTAGACCCGAAAGATCAAGTTTTCTCTGTGTATCGGGAAATTGACATTTCGTATCTTCTTCTTCTTCTTCTTCATCGTCACATTCATCTTTGTTGGCATCTTTATCATCTGTTGCTGAACCCAATTTTTATTTGTGAATTCCTACTAATTTGTGCCGCATTGTGCCGTTTGAAGAAACTGGATATCTCCTTTCGTTCAGTAGAAAAAAAATATTAAAGTTAAAACATAAATTAACAAATAACTTTTTCTACAATGCATTTATCGCAAGTCTGCAAGCTGTGCTGAGTTATACTAATCGAGTACAATAAGAAACCACTTAGAGACGTAACGAAAACTATTCAGATTGCAAAAAAAATTTGTAAAAATTGGTGACGTAAAAAATTTTTCACATTTTCGAAATTTCGGAAGTTGTGCCAGATTGTGCTAGTCAAATCCAACAACTTTTTCCAATTGCAAAATGTCCTCAGATGGCTGGTTTTCGCATTACGAGCATTTGAAAGAAGTAATTTTTAGGAATAATTTTAGGAATAATTTTCAGGTCACTACCATGGTATATATATAGTTTTTGAACCATGGTAGATATTCGAATTCTGCAAATTATGTTGAATTGTGTTAGCCGAGTACAACAAGAAACGACTAAGACATGTTCCGAAAATTGCACAGCTTGTAAAAAAACTGGCAAAATGTAATGGGCCATAAAATTTTTTTTACATTTTCGAAATTTTGAAAGAACGACAGAGATTATCAGTCGCCATTAGCAACACAATATAACACGACACGTGTTTATTTCACTACAAGAAGCAGCCACAGATAATTTCACAGATAACATTTATATACACACCAAAAAAAGACCGAATGCAGAGGACGAACGGGAGAGAAAACGTTTCCTTTCGTTTTTACACCGTTGTATCAATAACGCGCCATGTTCACTGAAAGGCTCGGTCTATCGGTATAATTGCGCTATCACCTGCGGTATCATCTTCGCCGTATGTACAAGTGTTATCTGTGAAATTATTTGTGGTTGCTTCTTATAGTGAAATAAGCACATATTGTGTTGTGTTATATTGCTGATGGCGATTGATAATTCCTGGAAGAAACACGTGATTATTTATGTGTCTTTTCAAGGCTTGGCAGTCGCCAAACAAACATTCATCGATCGAGAGTGATTAACTATAAATAAAGATAGCACAGAGGTGGATGGAAGTTCATAAGGAAATCATTGTAACGAATACTTGTAGAATGAGTAAAATGAATATCTGAAGAATACTTAATGAATTATCTACAGTTAAGTTCAGCTTCAAGTATTCCTCAAGAAGTCATTATAATGAATACTTCGCGCAGTATTTATAGAAAAGTACGGAAGAGCGTTGATTGACTGTTCGAATCACGCATCCTCCGTCCGCCACGCTCATTCCATATCGTGTGATCTCATCCTTAAAACACAGCCTCCATTACGCATACATGAATATACCAACTACTTTGTACAAGGCGTTATCCACGTTATCCAGTATTTCGTGTAGTGGTTCAGTTACTTTTTCTATTTCCGAGACTCGATACTTGAATAACTTGAATATAAGGAGAAAGGACAATACGGACTATAAATATTTCATGTAATAAGTAAGTAAGTTAAATTGACTTAATTTCTTATATGAGTAAAAATTTTTTCTCAAATTTACCGTATAATCTCAAAATCAATTGTTGATCAATATTATATATTGTATAAATGTAATATTATTTTCTTTCATTCAATTAATTTTATAAAATCTTATTAAATGTCTATTCTTTCCTTTACGGTTTGTTATACAATTTTGATTATTTTATTGCGGGTTAAATATCTATCTAAAATAAGATAGAACTAACAGTTAGGAGGCGGAAGCACGCTATTAACCCAGTGGACGCAATTTGGAATACAGCCATGGATGAAAGTAATACGATATAAATGTTACTGACAGAAATTACCCAATTACAAAAAATAAGAAGAAAAACTAAGAACCAGACAGAAACGCCCGTTTTCAATTAGTTTTCAGGTTTTTCTGCCAATTTTTCTACTTGGGTAATATTCTAGTTTAATTATGGCAAATATGGCTTTCCCTTTATATTACAGATAATAAGGACATTTTTTTTCACGTATGTATATGTCTTTGAATCTTTACAGACGTATAACCCGTCATAAAAAATATAAGCAATCAGATGAAATATGAAAATTATTTCGTGGATAGCTTATTTTATTAAAGATATTTGAGTTTATACATTGTACAAATGTATACGCACGTGTAATATAATATAATATAATATAATAACATTATTTATATTATTATAAAAATATAATTTTTATTATATTATATTTTGTGTTTTTTACTCCCTTTTACAACTATTTTGTAATCCTCTTCCTATTCTCAAATTCTAATCCTATTCTTAAATTCGTTAATCATACATCTATTGATTAGAAAAATATCTCTATATGAATACATCACGAACTTCTGAGAAATTCCAATCATGGTGCATGTAACTTCCCTAGTCATTCTTCCAATATTCTTTTATGAATTCCTGAGGAACTATGGTTCAGAAAGGAAAAACACTTTGTGAATACATTGAGAATTAATTGTACAATCTGGATAATTATGGTTAACGGTAATCAACCAACAAACCATGTGTTTATTAACGTTCTTTTCTCTTTTTATTCCAAGTGTGCAAGTGAGTAAAAAAAAAAAACCAGAAGAAAGAGATTGAGAACTTGTTTTCATTTGTGTGCACTTTTCAACATTATCGTCAGTTGTCAAAATCTTTTCTATTATAACACACAATCTTTACATTGGCAATGAATATTGGAACGCAGCTGGTGTAGCGAACAACTGATTGCAATAAACACCCCACATTACCGCCCGCGTTTCACGATGAGTTGCGCCATCCCTGTCTCATCCCTACTTTCTGTATCCAACCCATAAATATTTTTGTCAATAACTTAAAAAATAAGCTTCAGACAGAGTTTTGCAAGAGGAAAAAGTATCTTCGAATTTTGTCAGGATTTTGTAGATTTAGTTTTAAAAGATTGTTCTAAATCACTCTGTACATATAGGGTGTTTCAGACCACCTGAGTCACCCGATTTTTTCGTAAACGCGACATTTTAGAGAAAAATGTTTCAGACAAAAGTTGTAGGTCTTCAAAGAATCTATTTACTGATGCTATAAATTTGAACTTGGGATGACCTTGAAAAGCCCAGGTTAGCGAGATATCGTAAGTTAAATATTGAAAAAGTTACCAAGTTATCCTTAAATAAATATCTCAAAAAATATTAGGCAAATAAAAAGATGTTTCAGACAAAGGTTGTTCAAATTAATTGGAAAAAGACGGTGTAATAAAAAATTGGAGTTTCCATTTAAGATTTTTATGTTGATCTTGACTGGGCTTTTCAAGGTCATCTCAAGGTCAAATTTATAACATCAGTAAATAGATTCTTTCAAGCCCTACAACTTTTGTCTGAAACACTTTTCTCTAAAATGTCCTGTTTACGAAAAAATCGGGTAACCCGGATGGTCCGAAACACCCTGTATACTTAATGATTTATTTTATCAAATTACCCATATTAAGAGACTACTATTCCATAAAAACTACTAGCTGTCTAAAACTATAGCTAACACTACAAGGATAGAATAAAAAATATTCAGGGCCTTACGACCCATCTCAACAGGCGTTATATTATCATTTAATATTTTATTATTACAATGACGGATCAAAATTTGGCCACTTATTTCTGAAACCCTATATAAATCCATTATTATAAGAAAGTTATCAGTCAGGTTTCTGATTAATTTTTCTGATCTGCAGATACGTTTCACAGCAGTGACAGATAAAAGACGCAAACAAAATGTTTGCGCACGAGCACGCGCGTGCGTATATGTGTACGTTGCTAACTCACTTAAGAAATTTGTCGCAACTACATCGTGGTAAAGGGAAAATGATATTGGTTACAAGTATATAATCGATGTGCATATTATGTCAATGCCATTGTACTCATTTATTGCAATTATATTTACTTATTATAATTATAATTGTTAGATATGTTATTTCCCAATAAGACATACGTATTCATTTGATGATTCCGCATCAAAGCATTAATAAATCCATAACTTTAAATTTGACTAAAGTAACATATGGAGTAGTACGATAATTATAATGGTAAAAGATAAAGACAAATGTCCTTCATTTTGATGTAAATACAAACATTAACGACATTGCGCCGCCATGACAAAGAGATATTTTTAACAAACATATATCATTACTTCTTTTGGGCATAAAAAATTAATATTTCGTATATATTTGACATAATCCTTTCATTTCCTCCGCGCGTGCATTTATAGACAAATCTTCTGCTTGCCAATTCACGTGTAAAGTCATCTTTGAATTGTTCCATTCGCTCGTGGGGCATGTTTTCCAAAAATTGTGTCACGAAAGATAGTAGCAAAGCTGCGTTGAAATAATTAATAATTATTATGAAGTCACAGTTTACACTGTGCATTAAATATTGGATGTGCATTAAATATTGGTCCTTAAAATGATAATTCAATTGTCACAGGTGAAATCTAGTATCCGCCAATATATTTTTAAAGATACATACATGGCAACAGCCGAAAATGTTCAGCAAGGTCTGTTTTCTCACGATGACTGCAGTGAAGTACATTAAAACCAACGCTTTTGAATAATGTTTTTAATTCTTTCTGAGGTTCAACAGAGTTGTAAAACGGCGGAATAAAATTACTCACATGCTGCGTAAACACGTAGAAAATATTCAGCAATTTGTTATGATAAATATTTGCAAAGGAATATAAGCAATAAGAAACTATATAGGTAAAATTTACCTTTATGTATGACTTATACCGTATATTTTGCGACAATTTGTAGAAAATATCAAACGCATCATGAGACACGACTGTTAATCCTAATATAGTTCCGCCAGGTCGAAGTAAATGATAAATATTCTCAATTGCTTGTCTATTAGATAAAAGAAGTGTACTTAATCTTTGGAGCATAGGTTTATTAGCATATTGGCCGGGGAGTGCTGGGGAGGGAATGAAGATGTCAGTTCTCCCAGCTCCCCCACTTCGGCCCAACTAGTAGACACTCCGGATTTAATGATACAAGTCCGACATAACCCTCCCCCGAAGCGAGGTATCCATGAGGGTTTCCCTCCCGTTAACAAAAAAAAAATTAATATATATTAGAACAGTTTTTATTAGCTAATTATGAAAATGATTTGGAATGATGTGGATAATTAAATTATATAATAATTCCTTGAATCAATGAATTGATATTCGTATTTTTGTCAGATATCTTACCGAATATTTGGGCACCAATGCAAAACATAAAATGTGAATACGTGATCATACTCAGAAATATATTTTTTAGGCAGATCTTTTGTTTCAATATCGAGTAAATCGAATTTCAGTCGTATCTCGTCACCATATACTTTCTTGGCATGTGTAATCATACTATCCGAGATATCCGTACCTTCGAACAACTCATACTTAAACAATAAATCTCGCCAACATGTATCATATTTTAGCAATATATTATTTTTATACCAGTGACTACCGCTTTTGAATCGAGTGCGGGTAGAAGAATATCTCTTGTAAGATCACCAGGGCCGCAACCAATGTCCATACATTTTCCTGACATATGTTTTATTTCTTCTTCGAACTCGTCAATTAAGCGTTGTACGTGAACACGTTGTATGTTCACTTGGCTATATTTCGACGGATTTACCATATTGAGTCGAAAAATTTGATATGAATATTTTTTGAAATATTATCTTCTTTCTTTATCTACTTTCCTTTTATTCTTCACTTCTCAGCGATTTCGGTAATGTATGGAGAACAAACAGATGTCTCTGAAAAATATAAAATTCTTGTTAAATTTATACAGCACGTCTCTAACATATATGGTACACGATCTGATAGAATAGCCTGTATGCACAATGAATATTACAAATGTCATCTGCAAGACATTGATTGCCAAGAATCACACGGTACATTCTCTTGCTTGAGATATAATACTAAATCGAAAGGATAATGGGTTAGATAAAGTTTTGCAATAATCGTAATAAAATGCAGAGTCGTTAAACGTATAAAATGTATAAAAATTTACCTTTGCAGAAGTACCATTTTACAAAAACAAGACGTAAATTTATTGTATATAAGAAAATTATCGGTTACTTTTCTAATTGATTTTAGTAGCATGCAGATAAGTTGCAAAATAGTGAAGAATAAAACATATACATTATATATCTATATCTTTCTCAACAATTTTTTTCCAAAACACGGTGTTCAACTTTTCGCAGAGAGGTCGGATGAACAATGTTGTACTTTATTAATTGGTTCAAATACGAACTGTTACAAAAAAAATGCACACCCGAGTTTTTAAGAAGATTTGATGGTGACTGCTGTCAGTTGAAACACAAATTAATGTTTATTCTGTACAATATAACATTTTTTCTATACGTAAACTAACCGAATAAGATCGCGGATTATAGAATGAAATGATTATAGATGCATACAAGTTGCGATTACCTTGCAGAGTATCTTGCAGAGCAGAAGATCTCTTGTAAACAAACAGTCGATCCGTATATCAGCAAGCGACGAGAAAAATCGAAATGACCGAGGCGATCCAGCAGAAACGCATCTTATCTGTTGCACTGCACGCACAAGAGTGATTATTCCAGAGATAGGTAGTCAAATATTGGTTTATAGGAGATAAGTTAAGTGCACGAGATGTAAATTTTTATAAGGATATTTTCGTCCTCAACGATGTTCACTCGTGACGTGGTAATCATATGTATACGAAAATATATTCTGTGATCAACTAGAGGTTTCGCGTAATAATACACGGTTCGGTCTCGCTGCCTCGCTCGCGCGTTCAGTTGACCCGGGTCTTTCGTTTGTCGGGCGACTGCTCTTCTAGATTACTGAGCTACTTGACGCTTCGCGCTCGAAATACTCTCCTCTCCCCAGATAATGGTAAGAAATCGTTGATAAGAAAGAGTCGTCGGAAGTCGTGACATCTCAACGATCTCAACGGAAATGATCTATTTTTGAAACGATTGATGAAAACTAGCGATGGAAAATGGATTGTTTACAACAATGTCAGTCAAAACAGATCGTGAAGCAAGTAAGATGAACCAGCGCAAACAATGTCCAAAGCTGATATTCATAAAAAAGAATTTATGTTATCAGTTTGGTGAGATTGCAAAGGAATTATCTATTTAAAAATTGCAAAAATTAATTGCAAAAGATCAATTACGAAATCAAAATGATGCAAAATAAAAAGGCCTATGAAAGCAGTTTTGCATTCGTACATTTATAAACAGCAGTGGAAATGCAAAATATTATTAATTTAATACAGAACTTTAATAAGGCGTAACACACACACACACACATACATTCGCGCATGCGCGCAAATATATATAAAGAGACACGGTAGTGTCGCCCGGCCTAGTGAAGAAGAACACCGCCGCGCTGCCGATATTTTCTTATCTCCGGAACGAAATAAGATGCAGATCCCGAACGCGCACGGAGTCCTGCGGCCGCCTACCTAGCACACCGCCCTCCTTCTTTTATAATTTTATAAGCAAATCGCAGATGGCAATATGCGTTAAGTGAGTTTCTTTAAGTTCATGAGGAACCCATAAATCGAGTTTTTTTACGTAGCCAAATTGTTTTAAACGCTTTCCAATATATGTATGTGATGTATCGAGCTTCTCTGTAATCTTACGTGTTGTGCTATGACGATCCGCATCGATTATTGCTTTGATTTGGTTGTCATCAACTTCACCTGGACGACCAGAGCGTTGTTCATCTTTCAGTGAAAAATCACTAGAATGAAATTTAGCAAACCAATTTTGATACTGCCGTTCTTTTAAGGCTTCATCACCATACACAAACACAACTTTTTGTAAGCTTGCGATGCGTTTTTTCCTTTGCGGAAATAAAAAAGCAAAATATAACGAAAATGCTCGTTTTGCTTCTACATTTTTCAACTGACGTCAAACAAAAACTACACAAAAACAACCGATTGATACAATTTTTTTACTGAATGCCAATTGAAATACCAATTATCATACAACAATATGGGTTTGACATTTTAAATACCTAAATAAATATACCTAAAAATTCAACCATCTATCAGTGAAATCCGCAATTGCTTAATTGCTAACCCAATATTAATATAACGAGTCATTAATATAACGAGTGGTAATGAAGTTTTACAATTTAAACAACGTAAAAAGATACAAAGTTGTAAAATGCTATTCGCAAATGTTATTCACAAAATGCAAAGTTGTTAAACATTATCCACAAAAATTTGCCTGTGCAAAGGTACTATTTTATAGAAACAATATATGAAATGTTTCAATAATAAGTGACTAAACTTTAAGAGCATATTTTACTTACTGTAAGGATAAGAAAAACTTTAAGCATGGGTTCAGAAACCTTTTTTTTCAAGTTATAAACATTTTTTACGACAAATTTTGGTAAGAATGTACGAAAAACTGCTACTATCTTATTTCTTAAACACTTACAAGGGACATGTCACAACTGTCCGGAACCGATTTGATTCTCCTTCAAATATGTTGTTAAATACACAAATCTAAAAGACACGTATTTTTTTATATGTGTGAATATTGAGTTTTGAAGGGTGAAACACCCCTTTAAAGAAAAACGGTATTTTTCTTTAGAATCGAATATCTGCTAAACTATAAGCGATAGAAAAAAACATGATATTGAAGGTTGCAATAATATAGCTGTAGTAAGATGTTCTTGGCGCAAGAAATCATTATTCTTAAAACATTTTTTTGTCGAATAGCATTATTGTAATGTGTATAATGAGTAAATAATACAAAATGTAAATAAATTCATTGTGTAAATAACAAATGAACAAAATGTAAAATAAGATGTAAGAACAAAAATAATTGTGAGAGAAAAAATTATAAAACGTTATTCAAAAATATAATGTATAAACGGGTGTAAATAACAGATTTGATTATATAACGAAAAGACAGTGTGTGCTGACTGTGAGTATTAAATAGATTGCTACATGAAAACATTTATACTGTTAACATATCTGGAACACGTACATATAATTTTATCTTAATTTTTTAACGTAAGATATAAATTGTTCATGCCAACTATTGCGACATGTATATTTTCAAGATTCAATTGTAAAATAATTTTATTATAAGTAGGTAATTTTAGAATAAAATTGTTTTTAATTTTTATAGAAGAAATTAAATGTTAAAGAAATAATAAGAGAGCTGGGGATATATTTAGAAAATTCTTATTAATTTAAATTTTTTTAAATTATTAAAAAATTTTTTTACAATTCTAAATATACACAATATGCAGTTATAAATACATAGAAAACATAGATAAAAATTTTACATAAACATTTTTCATATATCTTATTGTTTCGGCGATAATGACTTACACACATAGTACGGATAAGCGTATACCTATATGGAAGCGTCTATAATTAATTTTCGAGAATGATATCCCGTAACATAACTTTATCATATATGGTTGAATTTGGAAAAAAATAAGCTTTAAATTAGGTAAAAAAATTTTTTTTATTTTGCAAAAAAAAAGATTAAGTGGTGGGGGTTCTTAAAAAAAAATAAAAATAAAAATTTTTGTTCATATAACTTTAAAGTATTCTTCAAGCGATTAAATTTTCATTACATGTTTTTTTTCTATCGCTTATAGTTTAGCAGATATTCGATTCTAAAGAAAAATACTGTTTTTCTTTAAAGGGGTGTTTCATCTTTTAAAACTCAATATTCGCACATATAAAAAAATACGTATCTTTTAGATTTGTGTATTTAACAACATATTTGAAGGAGAATCAAATCGGTTCTGGACAGTTGTGACATGTCCCTTGTTAGATAAAAACTGATTCCAATTCCAAGCAGACTCATTTGCAAATTTATATATTTTTAGAAGAAAATAATGTAATAATATATGACACGTCGATGCAAAACATGTCTTTTACAAATACAAGGCATTTATAACTCAGAAAGAAAATACATCTGAATCCATTTTTTCGTTTTTGTAGTGAGTGGAATATTTTAACATCATATCATTTGAGGCCATAATGATCCGAGATATAGTTTTTGTTCTTGATATTTCAAGGCTTTGCATTACGACAAATAACAGTGACTTTCATGTATATATACTTATATGTTGTGAAATTTTATATTTGTATTTTTGAAGTGAGCAAAGTAAGATATAGAAGAAATACAATTGAGCAATAAATGAAACGGAAGAAAATATCGATATTATGAGTTCGAAATCTGACTGAAAATTCATGTTGGAGTCCTTCTGGGAACGCGCACCTATAGTCCTGTCCAAAAATAAAATAAGCTTCTTTTTTCAGAGTTACATCCTCTTGCTTGTCAGGTACAGAATTAAAGAAACAGAGGGTTAATTCACCGCGACGGTAAAGGGAGAAACGGCCGGCTGGTATCGCTACCGTGAGCGAATGAAACCAGTTCGAGGATCGTTCGCGCGTTATTAGTATGTATTACACGCGCGCAATGCGTCAGTTTATCGCGAGCGAGGCTGCGCCGTGGAAAAGGCAGACCGTGTTATTTTTCAGGCCGCGTATCGGCTGCTCGAGTATAAATCGATGCGAAATTACTGCAAATAACGAATGCGACCCGACCTCGGTCTCAGCCGGTATTGCCAGTTAACTGGTCGCCAACACGAGACACTTTGCATAATATTTGGATCGCGTAACGAGTCTGAATAAACTTTGTGTCAGGTCAACCTCGCGATATTTCCCCCTAGTCACCCGTCGTTCACTGATTACAATATCGTCGGACGTAGTCATCGTTTCGAAATATATCCACGAAGGAGATCCCGAAGACCTATTTTATTTCTTCGCCATGTATTCCGAGAGAGACAGCGCAATCTCATTCTATCACGTTAGAGTGTTTTATTTTTATGAACGTTAGACCTTGAGATATCGTCATTTGAATGACATCCATAACAACAAAACTGGGCGAAAAGTAATAATAAGCAGTAATAAGTAGTTCTCATAACGGATCACCGCGAGTAACGGAATCGATACGACCTCCGGTTTATCCGAATTTATGGCTCAACCAAGAAGAGATATTTTCTCGAGAGTATAGCTCGGTGTCCTTCTGCGAGGATTCGCTTCTAAGGCGTAATTTATCGATCATCCCAGTTTTCTCCCGCTCGCAAACTTACGCGAAAGTTGTCGTGCCTGTTTATGCAAAGCAGCCCGGGAAACTGATCTCATATTCCGCATATACAGTAGCACTTTAGGCACTAAGTCTTTCGCGAGGGGGAAAGAATGTAAGCCACCCAGGCTGGCAATGAATTTCAAGTCTACACTGTTGCGTAACGTCGACGTACGAGCTCGCGCGATAGTTCGCTTAGGAGGGACCGAAGAACTATGCCGGAGGACCCTTTGAAGAGTTATGCGCGCGTTTGAAGTATCTCGTAACGCTAAGTCGCCTAGGCGAAATATTTTATCTTTCATCTATTTTTATTTGTGCGTGTCTAACATGTTCGCTACTTCAGCTGAAAGTGAAGTTCGTGGGTGTCTAACTACCAGCACAGTTTGTACCCAACACTACTTTTAGTCAATAAGGTAATATTCAATTTTCCTAGTAAGTAATTAGATAAGATAGCTGATGGTTAAATCAAAGAAATTACAATTATAAGATGAAATGGGTATATGGGACTTTAAGTCTGCCTTAATCCCTTTCACACCCCCATGAGTTCCACCAAAACTTTTCTGGGACACCCTGTATATACAGGGTGTCCGGTAATTAGCTGTACCATTGCCGATAAAAAATATATAGGTTTTTTATTTTTGGCTATTTTACAAATGTGCCAAATTGCCGTAGAAATCGGAGACACATATTTCGCGGGTGTTCCTTGTCAGTTACTTTACA